GGGAAGCCCTGCCCCCAATGCATACTCCCAGTCATAGCCATTAGCGCGAAATGAATGAAATAATCAGGAGAAGTTTGACATGGAAATATATGATGTATAGGGTGACCATAAAATATGTCATCCAAATGGGAGTTTTGAGAGGAAAAGGGGAGACTGTTCATGATTACCCTATGTCAACATTTACAAACTTAACCCAGTATTTCTCAACTAGAGGCGATTTGGACAACATCTGGAGACATTTTGGGTTGTCACAACTGGGAGGGAACTACCGGCATCTTGTGGGCAGAGGCCAGGGATGCTGCTAAACATCCCATAATACACAGAACAGCTTGTCACAACAGAAGTAAAATCTGGCCCCAAATGTCTAGAGTGCAGAGGTTGAGAAACTAAAGGGGCCAACCAGAGCATGGTCACAGTTTATTGGTGGCTAGGTAACAGCACAACCATACTTCACCAAGGCTTGGTGAGAATTGGTTGTTCTTAAACACAAATATCAATAGAGTTTCAGAAATACGTTTCGTTTGTTTTGTTTTTCTCAATAAAGCTGTCCTAAAAATAAACAGCTTTAGTGTGAGTCAGGAGACTTGGCAAGATCTCTGATGGGAAGAATGGGCTTCGGGGACAACCACGCTTGGATTCGGGCCTTGATTGTACTACTTAGTGATTGTGTGTGTGATTCTTCCAGCCAATGAGGCCCAGGGCGGTGTGAGCAGGCTGGGCTGGGGCTGAGCAGCGCGGGGTACCTGGGCTGGAGGAGTCTAGGGCAACAGGAGTGCGATTCCTCTTCCTGAACGTTTCCAAAAACAGAATCTCGGCAGCACCTCCTTTAAGGGCATATAGACTGTTGGAGGGTTCTGAAGAGTGTGACGAAATGCCATTCAAGGAAACTGTAACTTGTGTCTTCTCAGTTAAAGCGCGTGCGGGAAACCGAAAAGCAGTGTAAACCTCTCCTGGAAAGGAACAAGTGCCTCGCCAAGAGAAATGACGAGCTGATGCTGTCCCTGCAACGCATGGAGGAGAAACTGAAAGCTGTTACCAAGGAAAACTCCGAAATGGTGGGTGTCCCAGACGCTGTAAAACCGCAGCGTCCTTGCTCAGCTCACCCGGTCACCTGAGTTACTGCTCTCTCGCAGCTTTGTTTTTTAAATACAATGCTATTTATGAAAGTTCAGATTTTTCCTTATGTAAGCAAGGAACCTTTGGGGGGGGAGGGGAGCAAAAGTTGGTTGCTGGCTCTGGGTTTTAAAGAGTGTCTAAGTTTGCAGAACAGTAGGAGTGCTTCCAGGAATCTGCACACGCTCTACAAAAGGTCTGAAACAGAGAAGCAAAGTTTCAACAGAGCTCCTCAGCCAGACACCTCCTTCCAAGAATTTCACGAATGTGCCCTTCACAGAACTGTACAGTGGTACCCTCATCTTCAAAGAACTTTCACGATAGTGGGAGGATAGATGCCATCTTTTGT